TCTTCTATGTTGAATTCAAAAGCTAAATCTTCAAGTGGACGCAAGTTAATGATATTGCACTTTGTCTTCAATACATCTAATACTGCACCAATGGTAGTCTTATCAGAGAGCTGAGGCTTCAGATCAGGAAACCAGTCACTAATTAATTCTTTCATATCATCAATATCCAAGACATTTTTCTTGCTTTTAAAAATACGCCGGACCTGAAAAAATGTAGAGCCAAACTCTGATCTCATTCCTTCAAACTCTTTCTTCATGTTACGAGGGAAAAGGATTTTATGATTTCCATGTTTGTCCACTTCATTGTCATCAAGTGATGAACCTGTTAATTGTAAAATGAAAAGAAGCATTGAGCATATATACTTTCTGAACTAGTAGACATTGGCCTTTGTTGGAAATCTTTGTTTGATTCTGCTAAAACAATTCATGCTCTGTAACATCATCATCAGAGTTGAAACGCTTTCCTAAAGATGCACACTTTCATTTCAGTGAAAAAAGTTCAACTCACTGTATTCCTCAAAGATGGTATCTCCAACATGAGCAGTCTCTGAGAACTTCCTCAATACAGTAACAAACAACTCCAGGTGTTTGTAATTGGAGTGAACAGCATCTCGTACAGCTTTTAGGAGAACTGCTCTACTGTCAGAGACAGAACCTCTGGTAGACATGACACAAGACAGAGCCTCATCAGGTATAACCTCTTCATGAAGCAACTTTGCCACACGAACTGGTTCAGTAATTGACTGAGAGAGAGCACTGTAATTATTCCTCAATATATCACTAGCACGATCTTCATTACCACCTACTGCCTCCTGTGGTTGTACTACTGTACTATCATCATCTTGAGGAATTTTATCTTCTATCAAAAATAATATTCATGAATCGGTATAACTTGACAATATTCAATATCTTACCATATTTGGTCATGATTTTATTGGCTATATCTCTTGTTTCTTCAACATCAGACAGCACTGTAGCAATATCTTTAAGTTTCCTGTAGTCACTAGACACTGCTTCTTGCATGGCAGTCAATAGAGTGGTCTTCTTGTCATCCAGTGACCTCCTCTGATCTATCCTCTCCATTTCATTCAGAGTAGCTTCACTTATACATCTCTTA